GCTGTCTATGAAGAAAAATTACAGGAAGAAATTGCTAAAAATCGATGAATTGTACACAATATATGTAACTAAACATGTCTAAAATAAAGTGAAAGAGGGAGACGACTTGGGTATACAACTGATCATGGTTTATACTTTGAGTGCATTTTTTTCACTGCACAAAAAGTTCAAACTCTGAAGTGTTCAAAGTTACAGTCATCCGAAATACAAGGTACTACTATATATTTACAATTTAAAGACACAGAAAAATAATTGGGAGACATTGTGGTATTTTTTTCTTTATAGACTCTTTTCATCCTGTGGACACTAAGGAACCTGTTAAGCTAGTCCATCCAGGCACACGATGGGACAACCAGATGATGAAGGACAGGGCTTGATGTGTTCAAATGTATGACAAATTATCCAGTTTTTATTTCTGAAAGTTTTGGACTGCAATTTGAAAAAATTGTAGACTTATAAATTTCCATTGTCATCCGTCTGTCTGTCTTTCCTTAATCTCAAGAACAGAGTTAGATAGATGAAATCTGAGACCAGATATGGAAACATTAGGGGCAGGAGGCCCCAATTAACTATATATGAACTTCTGATACAAACTAGAAGTCACATTATTTCAATTTAAAACTTTTTTCCTGAAAGCAGCTAATAGATGATCGGCATGACTCTATTTTTAAAGGAAAAGTATGTTGTACAGAGGCAAGCTGCCAATAATTTGAGGTGGAGGGTATATATTTTAAATTAAATAAATTAAAAATTGCAGCCCAGCATTGTGACAAGGTCACAATAAATAATTGCTGGTTAATCATAAAATTTCACTAAAACATTCTTCAGGAATGAAAAATGAAATATAAATAACATTTCTGGTTGTACCATTCATCTAGAGTGTAAATTTCACTGATGTTTTAAAGTTAAACAAATTCCTGCAAAGTAATGTCAATGGTACCCCTTTCACATGCTGACACTTCAGCTATTGTCTTGGCAGTGACACTATGTATGCCAAATAGAATTCTTATAGTAGTTTTAGAACACTGCATGATGAACCCTCTGACTTTGGCATTCTATGTGAATCTCCTGTCTCCCAAGGTTTCTTTTAAAGGGCCAAATACATGAATTGGATAGTGACAGATCTAGAGTTTTCAATGAAGTTTATCAATTGCCTTTCCCATGCCCAGGATCACATTCTAACATCAGCCAAAAGACTTCTATTCTGCAGGCATCATTACGAAAATAATGTTTGAAGTGCCAGCATGTGGAGGAAGAATACCCAGAAAAAGAAGCATAAATTGGGACTTTGTGTAATATGTACAGTTCAATTGCCATTTCCAAAATTCAGACAGGAATTGAACTGCCCTCATACAATATATTAAAAATAAATCTGGGGTAGAATTTGATTAATTATATTCATGGTTTTGTGGGTGGCAATAATGTGGTCTTATACATGAGACTTGGGGTAAGAGGATGTAGTAGGAAATGATGAGATTCAGTTGGAGTCACTCAAAACAATTAACTACACTTAAACATTTATTTGACAGCACAAAAGTTTGTACAATACGTTACACAGCTAAACTAGTATTTGCATTTACGCACATTATCATCGCAGAGAAAGAGAGTTTACAAAGTTTGATACCTTACGAGTCTGAACTAGAAATCCCACATTGAAGAGAACAGGAGATAAATTCTTGACATCGATTAACAGTTCTGGAGAGTAGCAGCACACAAACAGAAGGACAACGAGAAATCCAAACACAAACAAAACTGCAGATGGTAAGAGCACGCAGGCACAGATTTATCCAGAGTAACAATGAATCCGTAGCATAGGGGTTACCCCAAAGAATGGGGGTACATGCAGATCATTACCTTGGTTGATTAAGGATTAAAGAAATGAAGAATTGGTGACAACTGACTAAAATAGGCCATTCTTCATCATATTCAAAGGTGTGAATTCCTTAGAGGTGGCTAAAAGTCGAGGGAAAGTGTTATAAAGTGGCACTATCAACTCTGAGAAAGTGTAAGTTGACACACACTCAAGTCAGAATGGTAACATATACTAACGTCTAATGAGGTTATCATCAGGTTTATTTTCCTTTAACTCATTCAATTCTTGCAGTTGGATTGCTGTTTAGTTTGATATTGAACTACTGCCACGAAAGGGCTTTGTTCAAATTCAGTCCTGTTATCTTAATTTATCATTGTTTGTCAGAATTGAGGCATTATTCCTCATTTCTCAATCTTGTTGAATTTGTGATTATAAAGTAAATATTAAAATAATTTTTACTTCATTAGTACTGGGACTAGAGTACTATTAATTGATACACTAAAGTTAAGTACAGGTAACCCCTGTATAACACGGGAGTTACGTTCCAAAAAATTGCCATGTTATACAAAACAAAGAACTAGTGCGAAAAGGGGGGTTAGGTTCCAAAAATTAAAAACACATGCTGTTAAATTCTTATTTAAATTGGATTTATTATTCATTTTTTTCATAGGTAAAATATTTACATATTATTTAAGTAAATATTTTGGCCAGAGGATTATTCATCCTATATGATGATCTCAGCATGAGCATCATCAACTGGTAACAGTTTTTGGGTGCGTTCATTAATAGCGGTTGCTCTGCAACGGGAAGGCGCTGCTGTTTGTAGGCATTTAGGTATGACGGTGAAAGAAAGATGGTGGCACCCGCACTATCGATAGTATTGTGATGGAGGAATCTATAATTCTAAAATGAGCTTTTAGAGGCAAAAGAAGGGTCTCAATTGTAAAATTTAACCATTAAATGGATTATTTGTTGAAAGAGCATTCAAAGTACCCACAAAAACAATTAGGATGCTCATGCGGAGGTATAAAAGAACGCACCCTTTATTACATTTCATGTTGTACGGGGGTTTTACCCAATTCCTGAACTGTGTTAGAGTGAACCCGTGTTATAAAAGCACCATGTTATACGGGGATGTTCCCAATTCTTGAACCGTGTTAGAGTGAATCCATTCTATAGAAGTGCCGTGTTAGAGTGAATCCATTCTATAGAAGTGCCGTGTTATACGGGGTTACCTGTATATAATAAATTAAAAAATTGATATTTAAATTAATAAAAGTATACTTCATGGCCTTGAAACATCATTTATTTTTCTGTCTCAATAGACACCATCGCCATTTCGTAGAGTGCGGTCCGAAAGCATAAACATCGACCCAAAACTCTCAAATAATTCTTTTGAGGCAAAGGTAAGAACATTCATTACATTACCAGTAATGTTTAATAGATATTTTTTAATTAGTTACTAGTAAACATTTTTAATGATATCAAAATACATTATGTCAAGCAATTGAATGGAAAATTTACTTGTGAGAAATAGATTTGACAATGCAGCAAGCCATACTAATTGTACATCTTGAAAAATTTTTTAATATTTATTTACTGTGAACTGGATGAAATGAGCGACTCTTTAAAACACACAAATAGGAAAAAACAAATGATGTAATTCCCTTAAAATGAATCGCCAATACACATGAGAAAGAAAATCCTTTCTACCTGGTTGACATGCACATTTAGAAAACTTATTGTTCTGTCTAGAATGAAGACAATGCTAACATGATGGCTCATACCTTAGTTTTTAAAACCCTTATTCAGATAGAGCATTAGTGAAGCCTCTTCTATGTGGCTTACAAAATTGAATTCATTCTCAGAATTTGATTTGTCTATTTTGATTAAACTTCTTCCTTTTACATAATATCAGACGAGGGAATTAAAAATGTAATAAAAATTGGGATTTTATTCTTGAAATACAAGGTTGCTAGCACAAGCTTTTTTTTGTCAGCAGAAATGTCAATGTTACAATAGCGGCAAATGATAGTCTTAGAAGGACCCCAAAACATTATTATTGACTTGCTAGCACTTCTACTCAATTCTTAGTTTATATACAGACAAAAAGCAAACTGTGCCTAGTAAAGTAATTAGTAAGGAAGATATTTGAAATTCCTCATTCACATTGCAAAGCACGTGGATAGCAAAATTAAAACATCAATAAAAGATTTTTTTTCTTTTAAATCTTTCCACTTCATGGACACTAAGAGGGATTTTTTTTAGAAAGCTCATTATCGTTTTGGCCAGGCTTGTAATGAAGCAGCCGATGAGTAGTGGTGTCTGACATATTCAAACAGACCACTTCATAAAATTCCTGGACTCATCTGAATTTGATCCCAAGTTTTCCAGAGCAATAGTCTTGCCACCTTAGCCATTTGGCCATTCAGCTGTCATCAGTAAGAGATGGCTGTTGTTGAGTCTGGATTGTGCGAATATATTTCACATAGCTACAGCTAATTATGCTGACTTTATTTACATTGTGTACAATTGTAATCAATAGTCATTATCTAAATTTAGAGTTGTGAGTAGCAAAAAGTAATATATTTTTTCCTAATTGCAACCCCTATATTTAGACATTAATCATATGTAAATCTCTTAAATTTCGATCCTTAATCAGTAAACCTCCTGTGATCCTTAGGTTATTCTTGTCTAGTCTGAAGTAGATAATGCGTAAGTTGACTAAATAAATGCAATAGAACAATTTAAAGAACACGTGGCATCTCTTTTTTGTGTCGACTAGTTTTTATTTAATCAAAATTATTTCTGTTACGATACTTTTGAGTTCTTGCTGATCTTCAGCAGAAACAAGTAGAGAAAAACCTCATTAGTTCAAAATTCAGGGGACAAAATAGTCACAATTTTGAATTATCCAATACAGTGGGTGATTGGTTAACGAACATAATTTGTTTCAAGACTTTGTTCGTTAACCAATTATCAATTTACCATAGGTTTTTATGGGAATTTGATTAATTCATTCCAGAGACTCCAAAAAATAAAAAAATATATACTTTTTTACTACATTTATTTATATGTAATAGTAAAATTACACCTTTTTTTTAAAATTACATAATTTGTGATTTAGTGATTCTCAGGTTTGGCAGCAGAGCCCTATTTATAATATGTTTTTAAATTAATCTTCAAGGTATTTAGGAGATAAGTATTATTTACTTGGAGATTCAATGTATCCATTAGATACATTTTTAATTGTACCATATAAAGATTATTGTAATCTTACTGTAAAACAGAAAAATTTTAACATAAAACACAGTTCTATCAGGGTTGTCGTAGAACAAGCCATAGGTCTGCTAAAAGGGCAATTCCGTCGACTGAAATATCTCGACGTGGAAAACATTTCATCAATGTCAAAAGTCGTAATGACATCATGTATATTGCACAATTTGTGCATTAATCAAGGTGATATTGACTGTACAGAGGATGCATTTGTTGATGATTATAATGAACCTGCAGAAGACCCAATTACGAGAAATCGTACGGCTGCGGAAGTAAAACGTAATCAATTAGCAGATCTATTGACGCAGAATTGAAATGTTTATTAAAAAAATATAATTTACAATTGTCTTGTAGTTAAATTAATAAATAAATGTAAAGAATAGTTTTATACAATCTGTTGTCAGTGTTCTTAATAAGATGTTTATCACAAATTCAGTCATCTATCAATTGAAGGGCTCCCTGTAGAAACATTACAACCAACAAATGTCTTTTTACCAAGAAGCTAAAAATTGTTTCATGCTTTTTCTACGTTCATATTTTAAAATTCACTTATTTACACTTGTTGACTAAGATTATTTAAATTCAAAAGTAGGGAAAACTCAATTACTTTTATTGAACATTTTTTTTTCTTATTTTGGTCTAAAAACAAATACATTCTTATTGAATTAAATTTTTGCAGAAGTATATAATGCATTTGTAGTTTTACACAGAGGCCATTAGACAATAAATTGGCTAAGATTCAAAATACTCAACATTACTATCATTCTGACGAACAAAGGAAGAAAATACAAAATGTTTCTAAGGCTTAATTAAACCTTTGGAAATCCAAGAAAAAAATTAAAACCCACATAGCCATTGAGAGCTTGTATGGAGTCTGAGAATAGAGTTCCTCTTGTCATTTTTTGAATAAATTAAACATAATGCTTCTTTATTAATAAAAAGCAGATTTAGAGATTTATTTTCTGTTAGTAAAAATGGCATTAATTTTGTAAGGGCCCCTAAGTTTTCTCCTGACCCAAGGAAAAATCACATTTCCTATTGAGTCCTGTACGAAAAGAAAGGAATCAACAATGAAGCTTTCTGTAATAGAAAGTTTGATTCCTTTTTTTTTTTTTTTTTAAGAATAATATGTAAGTCTCAGAAGAGTAATATACAAATCAACACACGAGAACTTTATTATATCCCAGTAACAACAAATTTTAATTAAAACGTTTGTCCGTAATCATAGTCGTCTTCATGCTTCTGACAAGTACGATTCGAATTCAAAGTAAATTAATGTTAAAATCAAGTAAAATGAGAAAAGTTGTTGACTGGATAACATTGAAAGATAGTGTGAGAAATATATTAAGACATAGTTAAAGTGTAACTATGGTATAACTAGATGATTAAATTGGGAGGAGATAGATCTAAATTCAAAATTCAGGTAATTCTATCGTTCAAAAAGCAAGGGTGTAAGAGAATATAAACCTAAAATATTCTGAAAATTTTTTAATCAGGATATGATGGGATTAGGGAATAGATGAGAAATTAGCAAAAGAACTAGAATTACATTAACCCTGTCTATGGAAAGTTGAAATGATTGTCATTATAATTGAGTCCGATATATAAAACCAGTTTTTAATTAAAATTTAAGTTCAATTTCCTCTAATTTTTTCCAATGTTGTTCATCAATCTCCTCTTGTTTCTTTTATATACTCCCAAAACCATTTGTGAGGTTCGTCTTTGGAAGAACATGCTTCTTTTCTTTTTTTGGTTGGTGGTGCTCGATTATTCTCCAGGCTATTGTTTGAAGTACAGACATCACCAATTTCTTCAACATCATTTTCCTCAGTTGCTGAGGATGATGATGATAATGATAATGTATCAGGAGGAGGATTTACATTTGCTTTTGAAGCAAGGAAAATGTCTAAATCCTCCTGGAATTCCCAAAAGGGAACTTGGCCACCTCCATCTGATCTTTCCTCCTCCTGTACATCAGCATTAGGTTTCTCCATTTCCTGTCTGCCTCTACTGCTGTTACGTTGAAACCTTCGTTTTTCAGATTTTGGCTTATTCAGCCCCATAATTTTATCTTTTTACAACTTTGACTCTGAAACTACAAGTCCATTTCTCTGTGAAACTCTAAGTTTTTTTTTTACAGAGGAAGTGGTCCATATAGTTTCCTATAAAATATTACATTTTCATTAGCATGTTGATAACTATATAGATTCTTTAATTAAGTTTTCAGAAACTTACTTTAAAGACTATTCACAAAAATATTCAAACTTAAAGTACTTTATCATAAATATGTTAAATGTATAAATTATTAAAATGAAGGGTTTTATTTAAGGATAACAGATCTTGTTTTCTTAGAAATAACTGCTTCATAATGTAAGCTATAATTTTTTAAACTCATCTAATATATAATCGAGATGGGTTGATGATAATGATAATAATAATAATAATCAGCGCAGAGCCCAAACGGTTAGGAGTTGAAAGTTGAAATTTGGTACACAGATAGGGTACGTCACGAAAACGCACACTAAGAAGGGATTTTTTGAAATTCTCCCCCGGGGGGAGAGAGACAGGATTAAAACTTCTATATACATTATGGATANACCTATTACAAACTTTACAACGAAATGACGTGAAGCGGTTTAAAATAAGAAATTGTTGGAAGCTATTCAAATAAGTATTTTTGCCAAAAAACAAAGATATTTTTGATGTATAGGCATTTAAAAATGGACTCGACACTCATAACCCCGAAAACCGCTTCAAACTTTAAAAAAAAAAAAACAATTATTAACAAGTAAATATATAATAAATTATTATAAAAAAAATCAAAATATAAAGTATTATAAAATTATTAATTTATGTTATATAAAAATTATTATTATTATTAATAATATAATACACTAAACAGTTTTAAAAAAATAAATAAAATAATATTTAATAATAAATATGACGTAGACGTATCCCCGATGCTAGCTCCCCAAGCGTCAAAAATCACTCCTAAGTCATGTCATGTGTTGTGATGTTTCGTCATCTTACGATGATTTGATGCAAGAACTTGTTTCCTTCGATTGAATTAAGTGCTTCATTTACTCGTAATAGTAAAAAAAAGTAGGAATTTGTAGTGTTTGGAGGTCGTTTCTTTAACTTTAAATGAGTTATTTGTATGAAAAATATGCTTACAGATCACTTACAGGTAAGTCTATTCAACTACTTGTACAGAGATGTAAACATGTCTATTGACAAAATCATGTTGTTTACTAAATAAAACTCTCATATATTCAACAATAAATTGAATATTTAGTAAACTAGATAGTTATATTAACTCTTAAATGCAAAAGGAATTGAATTCTTTATATATTAATTAAGATCCAATACATTTTTGACAATTATTTGCTATAATTTCTAATTAAAAACTTACATTGACAAATTTGTCACCTGAGAAGTGTCTGTGATCATCATGACCTATTAATTCTGTTATTTTATATAAATAAACAGAGTAACTGCTTAGCTTACGGAGGTGGCGCTTAACTGTGGTCGTTTCCATTTGTCTACCACGGAAATTGTGGGTTTGTGGACCGTTTGGTAAAGTTGCGGCTCCGAACGAGGGGTTCAGACCTCGACTTGGCCACGGAGAGTGCCTACGGGAGTAAAAACGGTGAAAGGAACCCTTCCGGAGAACTACGGATTATCTGTGCTCTCGTCCACTTATCCTATAAATATTACATTATTTAATCTTTCTTCTTTTCCTCGCAGATGGCTTCCTCTTTTAACTCTGGAACAATCTCGACTTTGTTCGTCTCTTTAGTCTCGATTTCTTCCGGCTCTTTGGTTTGATACAGATTCCCGCTTCCTTTCTTTTTATCTTTGATTTTATGCTCTTTGTCGAAGGTCAGCACGGTCTTCGGAAAAATATATTTTTTCGTTTTCTTCAAATTCTCCATCCTTTACGAGTGCTCCCGTATTCATTGCAAATTAAATTTAGATGGATGTAGATTAGTTAATGATAGATGGTGTGCCAAAATATTTTGTCCGTTTGTTAACCTAACGTGAGAGGTGTGATGCGTGAAAATTTTTTCTCTACCGAATGGCATAGAATTGCATTTTGGAAGTTTCCGTACGACCAGTGTTCTCAGACTTACGATGGCTCGACGGATTGAGATGCTGTAGAATGCATTTAAGATACGGTTCAATTATTAACCGGTAATTTTATTTATCGGTATTGTGCTAACTGTTGTTTATGTTATAGTATTGTGAGTTATTTACTCGCATAAGTTGACGCAAACCAGTGATTTCTTGTGTTGTTTGATAATAAATCGTGTATTATCTAACAACAACATTTTTGATTTTATTTTGTATAAATATACTTTAGTTGAATGCTCTATTTATGATAAATAATAGAATTAATAGATCGTGTTACATATTTTAAATTGGGTATTCACTCAATTTAGAACTTGATACAAACTATTAATTTATTGTTCTGTTAGATAATTAAACAGTGTATTACTTATGGGCACAAACTTGTTTTTTAATTTATTTATTATAAAATATACTCTCAGGTAAATATTTATCATTTAAACTTTGCATGAATGCATTTTATTTACTTATATTTACGTTTTCTACATATAAATCATTATCCTGCTTGGTATGCAGAAGTGCTAGTTCAAGACTCGTTCTTGATCATATTTTTCTTTCAGCATTCAAATTTTTAATTGTTAATATTTATAAATTATGGTGGCAAAACTCAATTAAATTTCAGAATTGATTAATTAAAAATAAGCCATACTTTTGCCTATAATTAAATCTACTTACCTTGACAATGTATTATGTTTTGTTTCTAGTTTTGAACCTCAATTAACAGTTTTATATCTGTTGATGAGTGTTAGTTATCCTGTCGATTCTTTTGTAATTCCCTATAGTTTCGAAATATTATCATTTGGGAATGGGAAGGAAATTGCAGTTAGGTTGATATATTTGTATACTTTGACTTCCTATTTCTGAACGTTAGCTTCCTTTCTAAACATTTCAACAATTTGATAATACATTCATTCATTTACAAACTTAATTTAGAGGTGTAAATGTTTGAAAAGATCTTTTAAGAAATTTAGAAGTATTTAAAGTACTTTTTGGGTATGAATGTAGCTCTGAATGAGATGTTATCAGAGCTATAGACCAGCAGTCACCAACTGGTGAACCGTGGAGAAATTCAGATATCGATTGACTCGAGGTTACGCGAAGTATGACAAAAGAAATGCGAAATACTCGATGTTTGTAGTTTAAAAAATTTACAATAGTGGTCTGCGGAATTCAAAATCGTGAGTTTAGCGGTCCATGAGGTCAGAAAGGTTGGCGACCGCTGCTATAGACCGTACCCATAGGAGTAAAAAAGTGAAAAGAGCTGACAATCTACAAGCGATCCTTTGCAAAATCTGCTTATAAATTCTAATAAATACTAATCTGTAAATAGTTAAATTTAAGCAAGAGAATATTTTAAAGATTAATCTGAAATGCCATGTTGATAATGAAGTTGATAATGTAAGTAATTTAGATAAATGAAGACATTCTTTCATATATTATCAATTAAAAAGATTAATTTTGTTCATTACTTTATAAAATGTAAGTCTAAACTGCAAGATTATTTCTGGGCTGTGTTACGGTATATTTATTTACTGAAACTTTGCATAAAGGTAATTATAGAATTAATTTCTAGTTATTGACCTTGATACAAGACAGTAGTGCAACTGCCTATATTTAGGGAAAATTTTGGCAATGATAAATATGCAGACACACATTCAGAGAAGGGCTGGATTGAGACTTTTAGAGGACCTAAATATTCAATACTTAAAATATTATGGTTCCTCTATATACCATATAAGTAAATTTTATTATGACTAAGGATGTTACATGGTAACTTATACAATGAAATTGTTCATTAGATAAATTCATATGACTACATGATCGAAGGGTAGACATCCCAAACACCCTAGAGGACCCAGAATTGAATCTGGGTGAGCAAACTCAAAGCTTTTTGGGGGTGATCTGTCTGGAATATGTCACTATCCGTCACCAGTTGGCCACCTCATTGTCGACCAGACAAATGCACAATGGGCGTTAAAAAACCACAGGACAGGAAAAGGGGGAAATTGAATCTGTTAGATGTTAGCTTAGTATACATCAGTAACATTTATTTGTTGTTTAATGGTTCCTTATTATCTCTATAACTGTTTTATTAATAATAATTAATTTTGCTAAAATCAATATAATAACTTGTAAAACTTGTTAAACTTTTATCAAAATGAAAGAGAATGGTTCTAACTGTGATTAAATTTTGACTTATAGGACACTTAAGAGATCTGTTAAGATAAAATGATAAGTTACATCAGAATGTGTAGGCGTTAGAAGTTATATTTAGAGAAGTAACGTAGTAATTGCAATTGAAACCACATCCTCAGTCCAGTGTAAAGATCATATCTACTGAAATTGATTAACAATTAGTTGGAAAAACAATAGACAGATGAGTCAGAGAAGCAAGTGGGCTGTGTATGTATAAACAGCCAAGTAGGCCTAATTTAACTGTTTAGGCTAGGTTAAAATTCAGGTTTTGTTTAAATTATTTTGAATTTTAGATAATGTATGTGATGTAAAGAACTTAAAATATGTAAAATTGATTACGCAAATGGACCTTGTCTAAACCTAAACTGCCAGATTATTTTCATTCAGCGAATCACACAGATATTCATTTGAGTGGCTGTTTGTTTGTTTATTAAGTTATTGCAACACACACTTGGGCGATCTGCTTAGGGGAGGATGCCTTCTGGGAGGTCTTTTAAGGTTAACTGGCCCCTATTTAGAGAGAACCCAGAAAACGCCACGTGGCCAGTCTATCCTGGCGAGGTGCAAACCCACAACCAAACTCTCAGTGTCTGGAACTGTTTGGCTACTGGTGGGTCCATTTGAGTAGTACAAAAATTAGTAGATAAAAAGTGGAATTTACTTACTATAAAATAGTTTTCATAATTAAAAATTGGGTGTAAGGTTATGTATCTTAATCACTTTTGCAATTATAATCTGTAGAATTTTTTACTCGATCTTAGGTGGGACCAAGTGTCCCATTTTCCTCTCTACAGATGCTAGGCAAGATTAATAATCACTCCAAGTACTCGGTCTCCAGAATGCAGAGGTCGAAAAGTAGTACAAAAGTTTCCGATTTCTGAACATGTTACTTGAAATATATATATTTGTATAATGTTAAATCTGCATCTTGCATAATTTATGTATTAGAATTCCAAAAACAGTTATGGGTATTGGAATATTTAATTTAGAAAATCGATGTCAATTGCTTGTTCAATTGGTTGCAAACTGGAGTTTTTAAAAGTTTACAACGTGCAGACTACCAATTGCAAATTTTAAACATATTAATAAATATTGATCTAGTAGGAGTTATAATTTCAATCGTTCTCTATTTTGAAATTCGAACAAATGTCGCTTGTCTGTATATACGTTATCTTTTTCACTTTTGTCGGACCGTCCTTCTTATCTGAAGTCCGTGTTTTGCTATTGCCTATTTTGGCATTAAAATAAAAAATATGTAATAGATTAGGTGTTACATTTTTGCTTATTAACTCATTGCTATTGCGTCACATGTAAAGAATTAATCTGTTATATCTTTATTGTATAATAAACAGGTCCTTGAATATTCTTAGTGTGATAGTGTTAAAATTTAGATAGCAAATAAATAAATCCGGCACTTGTCACATTGATTCTTTTGAGCCGTATTGGTAGTGTGCATTATGTTGTTAGAGCATTGTATTAATTAAATAAGCCAATAATTCGTGGATTTAATTTTGTTACAAGTGAAACAATATTGTTGTGGACACTTTACACAAGTACAAATAGAGGTTAGTTTGTATAAACATTACTAGATTCCTGTACTTATTATTGACTCATGTTCTCAGTGTATTTGATATCGTAGCTTGACAAATATGTGAATTTTGATAATGCATTGAAAAACATTCCCCGTTTATCAGTTGGTATCAAAATAGCATTTTATCAGACGAACTTAATCATCCTGAAAGTTTGATTTCATACGAACCTGAATCTACTGACATATTAAGTTATTTCCGAGATAAAAACTAAATTGTGAGAAATTCAGAATCTACAGATTAAATTCTAAATTCGGAAGTTGCTTCTGGCACATTATGCATATACAGGTAGCCCTCGGTTTACGCCGCAGTTCCGTTCCTACAAAAGCCGGCGTAAAACGAACCCGTATTTACGGTAAGGTATAGGGTTAGGTTCTACATAAGTGAAAAATAAGCTAATAATTTTGTTTATTAATACAATATAATATAAAATACACATAAATTTAATTTTTAAAATGTATTTTAACATAAAATAAAGTAAAATGTTTTTATTTAAAAATTTTAGTTTCGAATTTCTTACATTTTTCGGAAAAAAGTATCCATCTTTAATTGTTTACATTTTTTATTTCTTTCAATAAGAATTTCGGAATATGGTCGAATATGATGCTCCTTTTTACATTTGCACTTCGCTCCCAACATTGTCTAACTCACAAACTTCATCCGTCAAACTTTCCTTAGTTGAAAGGATACATTAACCCAACATAGAGCTACAGACGAGCGAAGACACTGATTGGTCAACCACCGGTCGCCGTAGCGCATATATAAGGTCAGTTTGAGCGGGAAAATTCAAGGTGGCTAAGGAGAGATAAATATCGTCTGGCTAATAAAAAAGTATCGTCTGGCCAACGAGAAGTAGATTTGTCTCACTAACGATGATTTGTGATCGCCAGAAGTGTTATTGCGTCGTAAGGTGTTTTCCTGAATGAACTGATACGGGATACATTCATTGGCGCTATGGATTCGGATGCCATTTATTGGACTATTAAGTTTAATATCTTGACTCGTGGGTACCTAAACGTTTAGTATTTTAATATTAATTTAATGCAAATGTATACATGCCCAATAATATTAAACAGAAAAAATAAATATATTCAATAAAAATCTTTGTTTTAACAAATGTACAATGTCGCAGCTCGGTAAATATGTCAACACTGAAATGAAAATCAGTCTGGCATAGGGAAAATCGGGGAATTACACCTCGAAAGGGTGAATTGCGCAGCGGCGTTATTGTGAATCGACGTAAATTGAACCGGTGTAAACCAAGGGCTACCTGTACTACATTCTTTGCAAACAATATTGCGAGCCAAAATTGGTTTGAAAACGTTTCTTTAAATTGGCCGTAAGTATTTTCTTCAAATATATGGCCTATTTTGAAACTTATAAAATGGCATCAATTGTGTAGAAGTTCCTGACAATTTAGTATTTATTAGTACCGAATGGCAGACCTTCAGAAAATTGGCTCAATACACTGCTATTTAAATTATCCTCTTTTCTGATTGAGTATATAAAGGATACATATGCATAAGGGAAATTAAAATTAAATAATCCATACTTAGTTTAATGGAATTATTTATTTGAAGTAATGTACTTTGTTTCGAAAAGGGCACATTGATGCGTGGAAGTTACCAGAGTTGCCAAAGAATTTAAGAACAGTACAGGATACACCACACTATGTGACATGTGCCTGGGACAATCTTCTGTTAAATTACTTGGCAATTTTGGTATAACTTTTGGATTCTTCTAAGGTAGATGTAATTGTTTTGTCTATCGGCACATCAATTGCAAAACACAGAATTTGTATATACGAAGAAATTGACTTACCCTGTAGAGTGACGGCATTCTAATAAATCTTTACAAAATCAAATATTCGTGCTCGGCTTAAAGCCACGAGATAACTGCGTAAAAGGGTGCATTCTTGCAATGTTTATCTAAATAGAGTGGGTTGGAGTGATGTTTGCAAGGTTCCAAAAAGAGGTTTGCAGATATTTTACAAATTAGGTGTTTTTAAGCAAAATTTAAAGTTCTTTGCGTCTGTGTTCTTACAATGTGTAGAATATTTCCGATCTCAAATGAAGTTGGGAGAAACTAATGCAGTTTCCAGGAAATGTTTGGTAAAAGAAATACTAAAGGAGCCAAAAAAAAAGAAAATCCAGTTTTATTTCAAAACTCTTTACGACATTTAATGGGAGAAATTTGGTGTCTACTCGTATCAAAACGATTTTCTCCACGCAGAAAATTTTCAAATTAATAAACTGTGTTATAAATTTTTCCAAATCATCTCAATTAAATATCTAAATAGAAGTTTTATTGCCATTTTATAAACTTCATTTTTCATAGATTTATTATAAAAATGAAAGATATTAACATCAAAATATATTTTAAAACATAAAATATGCTTGCATTTTCAACAAATAATAATAACAAAAAGTCAGTCACGCACACTAAAAAATTTGTCGCCGTTTTGCAAAAATTGGTGCATCTTTTGAATAACTTTCGTTTAAAAAATTTCACGATCTTCGACATCATAAAGAAATTGTTTTTGGACGGCAAAATGTTCATTAATTTGCTTCCCACACTAAAAATAGGTCTGACTTCCGTTTTATTTCTATTAATTGATATATTACGTCGAGTTTATAATCGTACATGTTATTCTGTGATGGTGACACGTGTTAAATTTTAAAAGCTTTAATTTATCGGCTTAGTGTTGCAGGCAAATTTTAGGTTAGGCCAATTAGATTATTTGTATTTCCCAAACTATGTAGTAATAATTTGTTTGTAAAATGTTTTATTTTGCATACATTCAGTAATTTTCGGAGAAATTTTAGGTCCCATTTTTATTTTCATATTTTATTAAAAATTATATGAAATAAATTTGAATATAACAATTTCAGAATCTTTTGTTATTCTCATTTTTAAGACAAATATTTAGTGCTTACAAAATCCAAAGTTCTGACTTTGATAATGCATGTATTAATAGACGGAAGAGTAATACAAGAAGCGAATAAGAGTTTATTTTATTGGTTAAATTGATGGCTGCTTTTTTGGTGGTGGGCTCATGAGGGGAATCCCTCGAGGGAAGCATGGATATTTTGGTAAAGGTGGCTACCTACCCGACTCCCTGTAGTATGTTGACAATACTTTAATATGAATCATCCGACAGAAGGCACTCACCTGCAGTGGGCAATGCACTAGTATCTTTCTCTTGTATACGTCTGTGCTGTCTGTCCGAAACTTATTTCGGCACCAAGGGAAGTACTCTCGCGTACAGGAAGCATATTTTAATTTCTTGCCACCGTTGCTTTAGTAAATGGCATGTTTTTATATAAGGTCTTCATTTTTTCATGTTTTTCTTTTTTTTTTATTACTGGCTAATTGAAAAGGCTCTATTATGTATACAGTAATACCTCGACTTACGCGATTTTCAAATCTTCTCGATTCGTCTTTTGTTTGAGCGCCACGTAACTCTCGATTACTCACTCCACCCACACTATTGTTCAGCTTACATGTTCGGACGTGTCATGCGGAATCGACACATAGCTACAATTTATTTTGTGTTATTTATTTGTTTGTTTGTTATATCTACGGAGACTCGAGAGACTCTATGTGGTGATTTCTTGTAACTGTGAATGAATCAAAAGACGAGATAAGATTAACGAGAACATTTATTAGCTTATATACAACAGACTTGGATTTTACACAAATTGCGAAATTATACCCCGACTTACGCAGTTATCGCTCGGTCCCACCTATCGCGTAAGTTCGGGGTATTACTGTAATTCCATTTCTGATTCACTTCTGCCATCTTATAAAGTCAAAGTTATCTGCTTGTCGGGATCATCGGCAGAATTGAATGTTGATTTCTTGTGTTGGCAGTTAGAATATTAACTTGCCATTGTTCTATGAAAGGAATCTCCTATGCTTCGTCTCCCGCAGATGCTTAACAGAATCTCTGCAGGAATTTATCATTTTCTCTGTAATGGAAAAATTCTATAATTTTGATATTATGTTTAGTATTTTTCATATAAACATCAGTTTAAAATTGCAGGTAATTTGGAGACTGCATCATTAGTCAAGGATAAGTCAGATCACAGCAATGAATTCCCTAAAGACAGTTAATGTAAAGCAGTTGGAAGAGGAGTTCAAATCCCAATTTCCGGATTTGTCTAATGAAACCATACTGGCCTGCATTAATCAGGTATGCATGACAGTTCTTTGAGGAATAATTTGACTCACTGATTGATTGATGTGCTATATAGTTGCAACACTTGGACAATCTCTCATGGGGTGCCTCTTGGGAGGGTTTTTATGGGAAACTGGCTCCCTATTTGGTTGTTAAATATGCAAAGAAAACTCAAGATGGTTGGCCCTTTGGTTAGTGGTATGTAATGACCGACTGCCAGTTTTCAGTCATTTTAACCGCTCAGTCACTGGTGAGCTTGACTCTGGCTGACTCAGAAACTTTTATTGTGCAGATGGCCACAAGATGTACCCTGTACTAAAATGGGCTAGCATGTTCTGAATGTGTTTCATGTTGCCATAAATTATTATAGTTAGCAAGGGTTTCGGAATTGTTGCTTGTCTGGTCTTTGGCCTATGCTGTCTGACCCTTTACGGATCAGGTTGTCTAACCATATTTCTGTAACTCACATCAATTAATCAATCATTATTCACTTTGTTTTTCTCATAACCATAATTGGTAATTCAATTATGGTTATGTGAAATCACCAGCTTCTTCAATTAATCAATATCTTTTCCATAGATAAATGGTGATATTTAATTTGGTGTAAATTTTTCTTCTTCCTTTAGCATGGGCCAGATAAGGAAACGTGCATCAAGATCTTGAAGGACATAAAACAAAATTACATACCATTGCAACAGATGGATAAGTTTAACAGCGAGGAATTGAGTGATAAGCAAGAAATTTACGATTTTAAATTCAACAATTATGGCTTTCAAGACGATCACAAACCTTTAGTAAAAGATATGGATAATCTGCTGATTGTCGACAGAAAAGAAAACGTGGATCGGAACCGCATTGGCAATGAAAATTCCACTGCGGTGCTGGAAAACCAGTCGATCCATGTGACAAATGGCAACTTTCTGCCTGCACGGAAATCATCTGCATCCAATGTGTACGAGCTGTCGTCTCATTACGCATTTAGTTCGGGATATGGAGATGTTCCACAGATCAGAAATGCATACATGGTCGACCAAGGCAGAATGCCCAAAGTATCAACGCAGTATGTTCCTAATTATGCTAGAGGCTTTTCTTATCCCGTCACTAATAATGGAAATGTTCCCTACAATTCGCAATTCCCTCATCCTGTTTCTTGCTCTGGATTTTCCGGAGAGATGAAGACAAAAGATTACAGCATGCCGCTTTACGTGATGGTCACGTCAGCTTCAACTTATTCTTCCCCAGTATTGACGACAGCCCAGCCACGGCTGGTGCTGCAGTCTCCCAACCTTCCGCAGTCATCTTACTATCCTCCAGTATTATCTCACTTAGCTCCTCCATATCATGCCACCAGGATATCTCCCATACCATTTTCTCACTCGTCTTCGTCTTCCTCATCTCCACACTATCCGACTTCTGTCACTCCCACTCCCCCTCCACCTCCCCCTCCCTCTCTTTCCACTTCCAATGCAAACGGTCCTCCCCTCATTACATACACTTATCAAGGGCAGTTTTATTTTGCTGAAAATCATCAGAGAAGCAACGAAATGCCAAATCTTCAAAATTACAAATTATATTCTGAAAATACATCCGGAAATATCATGAACCAGAACACCATTTTCAATCTGCCGACTGCGATCACGCCTCAACTTTCCGAAGTACTGTTTATACCAGATCACCAGATCAAAGAAGTTAAAGAAAATAAAGTCGAAAAGGCTTATGAGAAAGGTATGGTGATAATTTCTTGATTTTTACAAAGAAATTTTGTCGCATCTTTTTGATATTTCTCTTTGTTATTTAGCTCTTATCGATCATCAGAAGATGCAACTTCAAATGCTACACTTTGAATTATATAAACACAAACAGTTTTCTTATGCGTTGAGGAAAGATGTAAACTTGCTAGAAGAAAGACTACAGGGAAAACGGAGAAATGAATTTATTAATGTAAGTGAATACAAAAATTTATTATTGTTGCCACATAAATTAATAATTATTAAATTATTGCTTTCCTTATTAATGTTGATTATCCACCGGATCCGACTACAAAATGAACTTACAAGATACACAAAAAGGTCCTCCTCATTGGGAAATGTTGGGGAAGCACTTGAATGAAGTCCTCGACTTTAAAAATTTTGTATAAAGTCAAAAATGTTAAAAAATCATTTTGACTTTACCAATATAAGCATGCATACATGTGCACACACTAGAGTCTTGGCTAACAACATTGTTTTATGAATCATGAAATGTGTAAGCAAAATCTAATCAAATTTAATGAATCATAAAACACAAACACTTGATCCACCATCACTAAAATTACAAAAAATGTTTTAGCAATTATTTTTTGCTTAATCAATCAAGCTTCTTTGGGTGGAAGAATCAGCATTTGAAACAGAACTTGGTATAAAAATAAAGTTTCGAAAAAGTTTACGTGGTAGGTCATGGTTTTTGCCACAGTTTCTTTTATCTCTAAAGTTTTCACTTGTAAGTAACATCTGTTCAAATTCTCACTTGTTTATAGTTTCCAATGTGTATCTAACGCTCCAAATTGAATTAACATGATGAACGACGAATACAGTTTTTGTCAGATCATAGTTTATCCATAAAACTCTAATGGAATATAATGTATGAACGTATATCGGTAATTCCCAAAAAATGCTAATTTTTTCCCTCGCTAAGGGTGCATATACTTTTGGGATCAAACTGATCCAAGATCACTTCGATCGTACAAATCGTGTATACAAATGAACTACTGTGATCCGATCGATCTCTATTTGCGTATACAAACGCCATCTAGGATCAACTGGATCTCGATCAAACTAATCCAAGCAGAGGGTAGGATCATTTGGATCGGATAAAAGAGATTAAAGATGGCGGCTTCCATGGTCGAAGTTAAGATGACAGTGCATTTCTTCCTTTTCCTATTATTATTTCTTTTGATTGTAATAAAGTGGGAACTAGATCCTTCAGTAAATTTTCGAAAGTAAGTCGACTTACTCGAAAGTGTTCTTTAAAAACATTTGCCCTATATTCTAATGCAACCTCCGAAACATAGTTATTTTGCATACTGATTTCTTTTTTTTCTTACTTTTATATTGTGTTAAATAATTAACCAAAATTAATTCTTCTTACTCGGATTCTGAATCTAATTCCGATAATATTTCTAAAATGATTCCTAAACTTGCCGCCATCTTCTATCCTACTCGTATACTTTCTGCCATGACAGAAGCTATCTGTATTACATGACAAGGACTGATCCGATTTTACAGATCGATCTATACAAAACGAAAAGTATATGCACCCTAACTGTTTATCTTTTAAATTACATATATATTTGATAAATTTAATGTTTTAAGTGTAGTACAGTGGAACCTGGTTAACTTGAATTGGTTGAGTAAAAAATCATTCTTCAGTTAAAGTTTTGAGGAATTCCAGTTATTTGTTCTGGAGGAGGTCTTTCTCACAAATAAGAGCATGCTCTTATACACGTCAACTTATTTCAATACAATAAATATAACTTTCATCAATGTAGATATGCAGAGATTTTCCCAGATTTCAAAATGGCATATCAAAGAGACATTTTATAGGAAACAATTTGTCTTCCACGTAGTGTAACTCTGTTATTCATCAAATTCTCAGAGACTTTTTTACCATCGCAAACCCCACACAATGGCCACGATTTGGTATTGTCTTCGGAACGAGCAGATTTGGTCCACCGTTTCTAAGACCCATTACATTGAGAGTTAAAAGTATGCTTGGTGTTTTCAGATGGAAGAAATACAGAAACTAAGAGAAGAAAATATGCAGTTGAGGGTTGATTGCAAGTGCTTGACCTTAGAAGTGGACATGCAACAGAAAGGGCAGAGTGAGTTGTATTTCCATATTGTGTAACCAGCGTCAAACGTTTCGTTAATGTCTTTGTGATTATTACAGTGCGTTTGGGGGTGGTTGACGAAGGATTCTACAAAAACATCTTTACTGGCCCGCCTATTCCAAATCTTAACTCAGGTCAGTCATTTAAAACAAAAATTTAATAAAAATATGCTTGTTTTAATAAAATATATTTTAAAAATTCTGTTTTGCAGAGAAGAAACTAAATCTCACTCCAGCTGCTAGTAAAGGTAATCGGTATGAAGGAGATGATGACGAGGACAACCAAAGTAACAAATGGAACTGTTCGATATGCACTTATGCCAATCACCCTGCCCTGGACCTTTGTGAAATGTGCTTTCATTCCAGGCCTCGCCCTGCAGGTAAAGATTCTGTTTTGCCCCCCGTCGCCTCTGACCCCTGTTACTGTCACGGACGCCAGATAGGTTTCCGCCACTGATGTCTCCCCGATCGAAATGAAAATTTCTGTTGGCGATAAAAAATGTCGCTGGTGCCAAATCTATAGACATGATCACCCACATAGTCACACAATCTTTAATTTTACTTGCTTCTCTTTCTTATCTAGACAAAGTATCAATGAAATCTGTAATTTCAGATTTCATTGCATTCACCATCTAAGGAAGAAAAATTAGATAAGATATGGCAAAAATTGCAAATTGTTCATGAATTTTCATCCATAAAGCAATGTTAAAACAGATCATTTGGGATTTATATGTGTTTCTTATTCAACTGACTTTCGGTCCATCTTTTGTACGTCAACCATTGTCACTCTCCTCAGTTCTACCCAGTAATAACTCGAAACGGTTTCAAACGTACAAAATGTTAAAGCATATCATTTAAGAAATTAAGGATTGTATGACTTCGATGCATCGATTAATCTTTAACATATTACATTTCGTCGTAGCAAATGTCACTCAGGTGCCAGAAATCTCCATAATTCTTTGTTATAATTAGCACTAAAACATGTCGTATTCTACAGGGGTTCCCAAAAGTTTCCATAGGTGAAATGTAACTTTAGAATTTGTATTGACAGAGTACGGCAATGGAACACATGGGTGATCTGCCAGTGGGTAACTTCTAGCAGGACTTCCTATGTGGAAACTGGATTCTGTTTCGGTTTTAGATACACGAAGAAAATCCAGCACACTGCATAGACAGCCCATTGGTCAAACATGAACCATCTACCAGTGTTCAATGGTTTTATTTATTTGTGTCACTGTATGGAGACTTTTGGGACACCCTGTATATTGTTCATTTTTGTACAAATCTGTACCTGACTATTTATTTCTGAGACACACACAAAGCAGGCATTATCATCATAGAATTATCAGTACAAATATCAAAAGTTTAAGCATGTACAGTACAAAGTGTTGGCATTTTTTTAATATTTGTGCCTTAACGGTCTGCGTTTCACACTAGATTAACACGTGTATTCTGGTAATTTTTTTCTTTTATAACTATTCCAATATTAACTATAGTCTTATTTTAATGCCTCCATCGAGGAGAGATAAGAATGTAAGTTTGCGACAAAAACATATTTTAATTGTATTTGTGTATCAGACTAATTATGTGTTTGTTTTCTTTTTTTAACAGATGGATAATCGCATCATTTATCTACATTCCAAGGCAGTTATTTAAAGCTCAAACATTTTCTGCTGGTCGGAAAAAAGTGTACATAGCGTCGATAATAAGCACGCACGTAGTCCCACAGTGTATTAGATTTTATATGAAAATAATACTTAATTGTGTCAAATTGGTGTTGTTCGTTGTTAATTCGCTCGTTAAAATAAAGAAGTTTTCATTTTTATTCTGTTCACTGCTTGCTTGTACATGACAGAAAGGGAATGTTAGCTTGGTATGCAGTTTGACCACATTACATACAATAAGATTTTAACAAAAATAACACTGTGTGAAATTTTCTGCTGAAGTAATTGAATGTATGGTCGAATATTAAAATATGACGAATGCCCTTTTACGTATATATAAAAATTCTTGAGCAATAACAGTGTATAAATGAAAAACAACAATTCTTCATGCACTGTACATTATAGACATTGCCTCGAAATTTGGAATGTGTAACGTTAACAACACGCTCAACACCCGTCCTTCAGACATTGAACAGTTGAAGATCCAACTTGACCACCACGCTGCCCGTTTCCACTTCATACAGCTGCAACTGCTTGACAACAGGTTCGTGCGTCCGACGAGTCTCGTGGTAAACGTCCATCACTCGGATTTCTGTCCTCCCCAGGAAATCTGAAGCAGATCATACATCTTTAGTCTCCACTCGAAACCCCGATGCTCAAAATCTCACCCAGCTTACCGTTCGGAGAGAAGAGGTCCCGGTCAAAGACTGAAATGCAGAGCACGTCCCGATCTAGGTCCTTCACCAGAAACTGCATGGATGCGTTCCAACGAGGATTCAGAGTATTTGGCACTACTTTAGTTTTGTGTTCTTGTGATCCCATGCTGACTTCGCAGTAAGGATCGCTCTGTCCTGAGAGGGGCACAAAACGTAAAGGTTAGTGCACATTATTTAATAAATTCCGCACTAAATAGAAGGCCTGTAAAATTACCTCTGTACTTATTATAAGTAAGCTCAAATCCCTCTATTACATTCACCCACAGTTTGCCAACAGATGGCCTAGAAACTGAGTTATAAAATTAGTAAAATCATGCAACATGCAGTTAGTAAATAAAAGGTGAGAAAACAGAAATTTCAAAATATTCCCAAATTAAGAAGAGAAAATCGAAGAAGCTGTAATGTTTGAGTAAAATTTGCATGCAACAATAAAAAATTAAAACGGCGCAAGTTCAAGCATACTTAAAAAAACATGGGATCGAAACAAAATTTGCCACTACTGCTCGTGACGTACCGTTGGAAGAACAAGCTTTTAAGTGGATGCCTTCCACCACGACGACGAGCAGACGTCCCATCCCGGTTATTTTTTTTGATTTCACTGAAAGGTTACAAATTTCCACACATTACAGTTCTCTGCAAACACGCAAAGCAAATCTGCAAACGTCCTCCTAAAGGTACTTACAGGAATGTTGACGTTTCAAGAATTTCCGTTCTGTATCGATGTAGTGTTTAGAAGCCGTTTCGATCTTTCTAACCCACGTGTTTCTTTTTCGAGAGGAAGATTTAAAAGTGAACATTTCAAACATAAACTCCGGACTAAAGCTAACGAAACATACCTTTCAGTCACGCTGACCGCTTTCAGACAGTAAGACCTTTCCACGTGATTGAACTGGAACACTGCCTCATCCACATTGTTGTCATTGCTCTTCATCATTATTTCATTGAGGAAAACGGGCTGCGGGCAGTAAATAATTAATAATCTAACTCTGAAAAGATTCTAATTGGATTAAATCTACAAACCTGTTTATACATCTTGTATTGGGAATTCATGGCCTTCTCCGAAGTGAAAACGTTGACTATCCTGCCGATGTCTTTGAGGGGTTGCGTCAACAGAAGGAAATCATTGAACAGAAATGCAACCAGTTCTTTATTACTTTTCACCTGAAAAAAAAAAAGTTTCTTTATTGTTTTAAAAGTAATCCATGCCCTTAGAAAAGTCCAAGGAACTCCTAGTATTACACACTAGAAGTAAAAGGACAGATAAATATACAAAGTGTGTCGATAAGTCACGAAAAGATCTATAATATATAATGTCTCGTAAAGCAAAGTGAATGCCACTTTCATTAATTCTAGTCATATATTAGTCATACAATAAGAATAAGAAGTACAAAACAGAAAAGGCTGTGCAATTCTTATTGAGCTTCATTATACAGTCGACCTCCCTATAACACTGTTGATTTTTCCGTTTTATATGAATTCCACATTGTACGAGTCACTTAGATTTTACAACTACGTGTGCTGGGCTGTGAACGGTTCACGTATTTGTAAATCTAAGTGACTCGTACAACGTGGAATTCATACAAAACGGAAAAATCAACTGTGTTATAGGGGAGTCGACTGTATAGAAATGGGTAGAATTAAACTTGCCCAGAAAGTAGTACTGATGATTGTTCATTTCGGAAACGAACAATAGAATCGCAAAGTTTTCTCGATTTCTGAAATATAGAATTCATTTACGGGGAAACTGTCGAGTGTTACGTTATAAGTAATGCAAAAATGTAAGTGTCTCAGTGGCAATTGCCCAGGCGAGATGTGTCAGGCTCTAAGTAAGAGTTTATAGCCACTGGAACGATCGTTAATACTTGTCAGTCAAATTTGAATTTATTGCCGTTGGTGCAACTTCGGGCACACCTAACGATCGGAGGAGTGTCAAACTCTGCTCCTTTAATCTATACCAAGAAATCTTACATATCTATAGGGGTTCGTAGTTGCCACAGTAGTAATTTGCTCACTATTCTTAGAACGTTCGGATATACGATGCTGGGGGAGGTGCAAAGAGCTCTGAAAACGTCGTCGTGATTTTTTTGAAGTGGATATAGGAATACATCTTTGTCTTTGTTTTCACTTTAGTGTAAAGAGGACACACTTTGCAATTGATTTATCTTCTTTGTATATATTTTAGTTCACATTTCAAACCGGGAATCATCACAAACACAACAAACACTTCAAGTGAAGAACATGCTAAAGAGATAAAATTGAACATGAGAAACAAAATATATTTGCAAACAGAATATCATGCTTTTGTATCTTCACGCCTTACAGCAATATTTTAGGAATCACAGCAACCTTCACTCTACTTTCACACATGCAGGATTCTAAATATTTAATGTAAGGATGAAAAATCTTCGTACGTACTTTTATTAATGTTCCGGAATGCAAAATCTTTCTGGGTCCCAGGCAATTTGTTAGCGAATTAAAGGTAATTTTCTGTAAAACAAAAAAATACAATTTAACGGACTTTCAGTAATTATTCTAAATTCAGAATATGCTCATCACCTCGATGAGTCCGTCGCAATTGACGTGACTCTGCACCCACTCCAGCCTGTCGGAATTCTCCTGCTCCCTGACGCCTTCATTCACCTGATTGCAAAGCTGTTCTGCCAGATGCAAGGCTTCTTCTAAATACGAAGAGTCAGGATGTTCTTTGGGAGTGTGTTCACGTATCTGCAAAATATATTTTAATCACATTTGTTGTGTGGGATCGTCGTCGTCCCACACAACTTACCTTTTTAATAAGTAGAGGATATTTGGTTATCCTTTGCATCGGTTTGAGCAGAAAGCTACTGAGTGGCATTCCCTTTGTACGCGGATCGAAACAACATCGCTGTCGAGATACCGATTATTAAAATATCAAATTACAGAAAAAAAACTTTTACCACATAAAAATATTCCTAAATAAACACAATTTCAGTAGAACCTCTCTTTGTGGCCACCCTAAATGGAATCAAGCTTCCTTGCTACAGTTTTCTGAGTTCACTCGGGCCAATTTCTTTAGTTAAAGAAAACCCACCTCTGCCTTAACGAAAGTACACAAGCAGAAGAGATCAAAATGAGCCAAAGAAATGATGTATTTGAAAGAAAAAGGTGGATTGTTGGCACAGTTTAAAACGAGAAGAACAGTTATGTTCAACGTCAAAGTGGCAATTGTGATGATTTGGGCATCATTCAGACAGAATGGGAAGTCTAATGTGGTATTCGTATGGGCCAGAATGAATGTAAATGACTGTCGAGAAATGCTGGAGAAACATCTCTTACCATTTGCAGAGAAAATAGGAGGCCCAAGATGAATCTACCAACAGGACAAGCCTCGATACACAATACTAAGTCCACTTATGAATGCTTTTTGAGTAATGGAGTGCCAGTTTTGGACTGGCTACCTTGTAGTCCCGATCTCGACCCCAATGAGAACCTGTGGGAGCTGTTTGCTAGAACCATGTATGCAGGAGACAAGCAATACTACACAGTATAGGAACTGAAGAATGCAATAGTAGCAAAATGGAAGGAAATTGAAGAAAACACTCGTAAACTTTAATGAAATTAATCCCTAATCATGTATTTAATTTAATTTTGGCTCAAGGATGTCACATTGGGCATTAAGAAATTTTGTATTTGTCTTTTGTTACTGTTTTTTCAAAGTGGATATTTATGGAACATTAAACAGTATATAATAGGTCCATCTAGTTAAATTATTAAAACAATAAACAAACAATTTAAAACGACACTATTTATCATTTTTTGGCACTTGGTTTTCATTTTTAGACTGGTGTATTAACACCTACCCTCAAATTGAAGGCGTGAAGGTTAATTATGAGGGGCTCAGAAGGAATTAAAATACTGTCCACATAAGACCACATGCTCTCAAATTTATGATATTGTGTAACTAATATATTTAAGACCTCGAAAATCACGTATTAACGTGAAGTTTTCAACATACAAGAGAAGAAAGTTTTGGGTGTAGCAATATAAGTGCCGTACTTAAACATTAGTTAATGCAGTAACACGTAACAGCTTGGCATCAAAAATGCCATTGCCCATAACAGCAGAAAAAGTGAGAAATAGTGATCCGTTCCCATGTCTGAAAACTGTACTTCAAATTGGCAACGATTGGTCTGAGTCACCGATACGTCACTCGTATCGGTGACGTAACAGCTAGTTCAATTATTAAGACTTTTTCCAATGCCCAGACAATTGTCTACTTACCAGAATGCATTATACTACGAACAGCTTGCAATCGCTGTAAATGTAGTCTGTATTTCAATATTCTGTGTTAAAGTATGAAAGTTTGAATTATAGCATATTACAAAGATGTACAGCACGGTATCATTTGAATATTTTATTTATTTAATAATCTGTATTCAGTAAGATACTCTAATTACGTCAATTTTTTTCATAACCCATTAACGCAACCAACTCACACACGTGACCAGAAAGGTACACTCCAAAGATGGCCACATAAGTAAGGTTTTACTGTAATTATTATTATAAATTTACATTGAACATCTTGCTGTTACTTAATTAAAGTTTAAAACTGGAACATAAGTACAGGCTTCCCCACTATAACACGGTAGATACATTCCGGTTTTTATGAATCCATTTTCTACGAGTCCAGCCAATCACAGCCCGGCACGTATGCAGTTTACGGACTACGGCTGTTTGAAAGGTTTCTTCCATAAAATTAATCGATTCTAGACTAATTCGACTCAACATTTCCAAAATACGTATAATTTTTTGGGAATAACCCATATAAACTATGCTATAAACAAAAAACTGTAAGATTACTTACCGAGCGTGCACCGTTCGACTACGCCATTGCTTAAGCTTGTTTTCGTCATGGAGCTTGCCATCGAATGGCGCTTTTGGAAACATCATTAATTTAAATATAATTTTTATGGACGTTAAATAATAAATGGTTTTTAGTAGATCTGCTGCTCGTTTAAACTCAACGGTTTGTGCAATATTTGCTATTGGTCTAGATTCGATCAATCCTGTCGCGACACGAGTCGGCGATGACGTTTTACCGAATTATAGGAGTTTTTTTAGCATGTTTGTACGAATACTGTCGCAATGTTTTCGCCGTGATATAGGAATCCGAACTATAGGAACCCGTGTTATAGGGGGATCGACTGTAATTCGTATCACCATAGAAAAACAGTTGATGTTCCATTGGGACTAGCATTTTATAGACTGCGTACATCATTGGTACAGAGTGGTCTATTAAACTTTTTCTGGTGTGGTATTGCCTAGAACCAAATAATAAAATGAAACCTTGGCTGCCTCTTTGAATTCCGGAACGTTGTCAGTTTTCTGTTGTATGAGAATTGCGGCATTCAGTTGGCAACTGCAGTACCTTATGTAGGGCGTGAAGTGGGGCAACTACAAAACGAGAATCGACTTCTAAATTTGGAAAACTGAAATTAATTTACGCGTATGTCAAAAAGTCAACTTACGTTTTCGCATAAAATGTCTCCAATTATCTGTATAATATTATTATTGCTCATTTTCTTTCTCACTCGAAGAGCTCTGCAAGTTAAGAAAACATTCAGAAAGCGTGCCATTTTTCCCACGATTTAACTTTGATCCACTTACTTGAGAAGTTTGGTGTTGCAGATGATTAACTCGCTCCAATTGACGAAAATAATCTGCAATTCCTTTTTGGACAGCACCTCTTGCAAGGGTTTGTGAAAGGTCTGCAAAATGGAAAATGTGAGCCTAGTCTCGAGTCGAGCGAGCCACGATGTCCAGGGCGCCGTTACTCGAGATTAGACGCTCAATCCTACGATTTAAAATATATAAATTTCACTTACGTCCAAGACAATGGCCATGTCCGCCATGTAATCCTCTTCGGTGTTGATCAGTTCGTGGATGTAACTTTGACGTTTCTTATCTTCGGGATTCAGTGCTTGAAATGCTTGAGATTCCACAGCCCCTAAAGTAAAAGATTAGGTATTAATTATGCTCTTTCTATCTGGAATTTCAACAACAAAAAGAATCTTAAAAATTGCATCCATATTCATAGAGATTGTTATTTACATTTCGTCTTTCTATACATGACCATATTTACAGGATTTCCTTTGGCATTATTATATAATTACTTTACAGGATAGGATGCCCACCAGTGGTAGAGTGGATAAAACCACCAAACACTAGTCATGGGTTCACACCTTGACCACGTGGAATTTTCCAACTTTTCTTCGTATTAATTACTACTAAATAGGGGCCAGTTTCCCATAAAAAGTCCTTTCTGGAGAAGTCCCCATAGGCAGACCATCCACATGTTGCATTAATGCAAACAAGTAAACTAAACTTTATAGAACACAAATGTTAACAATACACTTCATTATTATGTATGAACTAAAGTATAAATTTCTGGAAATGTTCGTTCAACAAGACAAGCATCAAAGTAATGTTTTAACTATAAAGAACAAAACCAGACTCATTCAATGCCCATTGTAGTCACATAAATTTCAAATTAATTTATCTGATAAACAGCTTTCCAACTATCATTCTTCTTTATTTGTTTTGTTAAGTTATGACAATGTAACACTTGGGCGATCTGCCAGGAGGGATGCCTTCCGGGAGGTCTTTTTTAAGGGTAACTGGCATAAGAGTATTCAGGCATTACAGATGTGGAGAAATCCCGGAAAAGGGTTTTCTCCACGTGGCCTGACGAGGTGCGAACCACAACCGAACTCCCAGTGTTCAGGGAACGGAACCGATTGGCCAATGGTGAGACCATTCTTCTTAGACTATTATTTAACTAGTATAAAATATTTTATATATACATTCGTTGACAAAAAAGTTATACACTTGTTAGAACTGTAAAATTTAGCATACGGGTATACCAAGTAATGTTGTCAGAGTGCTTTAAAATTCTACCCTGGTATCTAGACAAATGCTCTTGGAGACTCCCCGTGTTCAGAATTTTCAATGCATCCATTATTTGCGGTTCTTCAAACGCCGGGTGTGCCCATATAACGTCACCAGAAACATTCACATTTTTTCAAAGGAGAGAAGGCCTAACCTTAATATCCCATTTGCACTGAGCATTTCAATCTAGAATGTGATCAAGGTCAGTGACTATGCCATGGTGCAACCTCTCTCAACTGAAACAAGGTTCAATCATGATCGACCCAAGAGAGTTCTTGAAACTAGATCCAGTCATAAGAGAGATCCCACAATCTCAGGCATGCGAGAAAATACAAAATGGCTGCGGAACATGTGTCGGGCTATCAACAAAGAAATAAAAAATAGATAAATCAAGATCAAAGTGAGTCGTGGATTGTGTACAAACGTAGTATAAGGAAGAACCTTTGAAAAGGAAGAATGAAGAGTTTAGCTGAAGTGAGAAGAGTGAAGGAAAGAAAAGAATGATAGGAAAGTGTGAAAATATGAGATCCAGAACAGCTACCAGGTCCCATATTAAGACAACCAGAGTCACAATAGAATTACAATAAAATACAATACACTTGAGAACAGTAAACAAGCCTCAGCACTTTGAGGGGGAAAATCTTAAAACAGCCTTTGGCTTTGAGATTCTCCTCAAAGCCGCATATTTATAGCCCCTCCTACTTGGTGGGGAGGATGGAAAAACAAAGAGAATGCCCCCTTGGCTCCAGGGAGGTAACAATTAGGAACTGACACCTATGTATAGTGCACCAGATGGCTGGAAACTGAGCAATGGATACAATGCTCATTCCAGACACAGAGGATGCAAGTGACAATATATTTTCCCACTTACCCGATGGGGAGAATGGGATACCAGAATAACAATAAAAGTACAATACATACAATGAGGAAACAGAAAACACGCACTTTGAGGAGAGG